CCCCCCCCCCCCCCCCCCCCCCCCCCCCCCCCACGCCCCCGCTTACTATGCTAGATTGAAGATGTTGGACTCGAGAAATGTGCACAAGAACGGAGGATTAGGGACTCAAGACGAGCCCCATGGCATAAACGATGCGACGCAAGCCTATGAAGGAGCGAGGAGTAAGCGGGAGAGGAGGGCATTGCAAAAATTTCCGAGAGAAATTCGCTGACCTTGTGGTGCTTCTGCATGTAGTTCCTCATGGTGGCAGCGGCGCATTGCCAATCAGTGGCGCAGGTCCGGAACGCTAAAGGGTCAGGGACGGGGACAGTCACGCATCGACCTCCAAGGATGACGGATGGCTCCCGGATGCGCGCGCGGGAACTCACCGTCGGGGTCGTTGGGATCCCCCACCGCGGGCGTCCTCGCGTCGATCCAGTAGGGTCTGGAGATGTAGAAGGGGCCACAGAGGTCGGACCAGGTGCATCCCACGCTGGCGTTGCAGTTGCTGCTTCCCTCGCAGATGCAGCCGATGCACAGGTCGCTCAATATGTGGTTCGTTTGTGGGCTTCCGGGTCCTCCGCCTTGACCTTTAGAAGATTCGTCCGGGAATTATCGATGCTGAGTAATATAAATAATTCTGTTTACGGAAAAAAAAAACAGGTTTTCATGAATTACCCGGACGCGAACTGTCAGGGCAAGAATATCACGGTCGTTGGGTCCATGAAATTTTGGCACATCCATCAAAGATAGCGGAGCCAAATAATTAGCGACTCGTGAAAGTCCCGACACGACGAGGCCCGTTACGTAAAACTCGGCTTCGTAACACGCAGGAAGTAATTCGAAATCAAACTCGAGGTGCGTTGCGCGACAGCAAAAAAGTGTCTGACGTCATCACGAAGTCGGTTTGAGGAAAAGGGTCAAAATTCGACTAATTCAGAGAAGAGATAAAATGGGCTTTGTGTTGTGTCCCCAATGATTATTCACCAATTTGATTTATATTCCTTAAAGAAATGCCTTTAACACCTATCGAAGCGCCCGACATTTGAAAATGATTACTAGAATGGAAATTCTGGAATGGAATTCTCCGCGAATGCTTCTAAAAGATCCGCTGGTCAGAGATCCGCTGGTCAGAGATCCGCTGGTCAGAGATCCGCTGGAAGAGCTCGGATGCGTCCTTCCGGGTACGGACGGGTTCAGGACGAAAAGCACCTGCCCTAGCCGACAAAAAAAAAAAATTGGAAGGATGAGACTCACCGTCGGAAGCGCCGAAGAAGCCGACGAACAGAAGTATCACTCGCCACATCTTCGGAGCGGGATTTCCTGGAATGAGTGGAGGCAGACGAGGAGGCAGACGAGGAGGCAGAGGAGGAGGCACTGCGAGGAGGCACTGCGAGGTGGGAGAAGTCTGACGGAGAGCCTGCGTCTGCCTCCTCGAAGGGAATGGGAAGTCGATGGCCTTGGCATCCGAACGTGTGATGTCAAGGCCCTTGCCTTCCTTTGGCCCTGCCCCGAAGCCGTCCGTTATCCCCCTCTTCCCCCACTTTTCCCCTCTTGCCCCC